GCTGGGAGACCAAGTACCCCTTGGAGGGCCCAGCTGGCACCTCTATCCCATCCCTCACCCTGTCAGTATGCCACTATGAACCATTTACTGCATGGAGAGACAAGACTGTTGTGCTGGAGTAAAATATAAAGGTGTTCCTCTCCCAGTGTTTGGGACAGGAAGGTACGATTTTGTTTTCTGTGTTTAAAGACTGTTTTATTTGAGAGGAGTGGCTGAAGAGCTCCTCCAAGAAACATTTCAAAAGCAAACCCCTGACTACATAAGCCAAGTTAAGAAAGGGGGACCTAAAATTTATTTGGTGTCTACAAGGGGGAAGAATGGAAGATGGTGGTTCACATCTGATATGACCATTATGAATGCCTTTTCATACTCATCAGCCTCTCCAATACCCATGCCACCTTCCAGCAATATGTAAATGACATCTTTAGGGACATTCTAAACCAGTTCATACTGGTAAATCTGGATGATATTATTACATTTGTTGATACCTGGGAATGGAATAACCAGCAGGCCCACCTTTTTCCAGAATGGCTCCACCAGAATCACCTGAAAGTGAAGCTGGGTAAGTGTGTTTGACTTGCCCCACTGAGGAATTCCCAGGATATATCAGCAGCCTGTAGGAACTGTGAATAAACCCTTGAAAGGAGCTGTGAATAGACCCTCTACTGGATTGGGACCCTCCAAGGAATGTACAATTCCTGGACTTCACAAACTTTTACTGAAGTCTGTCCAGTTGTCGAAGTAGATAGGTCTTATAACATCTCAAAAAACTCAAAACATCTAGTTCAAATCTTCCCCAAAAATTCAATCCACATTTGAACACCTGAAAAAGGCCTTTGCCTCTATGACAGTCCTGGACCACTCTGCAGGTGGAAGTGTGAAACTTTGTGACTGGAGAAGTATTGTCTCAATGTCAGGGAGCTTAGGAACTGCTGTACTCATGGGCACCTCTACATGTGCAGCAAGGCTGCTCCAACATATTGTAATTACAATGCATTAGAGCAGGCTCAATTAATCAAATCTGCTGTAGCATGGTAATTATTGTGCTCCACCAGACTCCAGCATTGCATGTATTAGCATCCCCATGCTGAAAAATGGTGGCAGGGGTTGTGGTGGGCCAGTAGGGGATGCTCTTGCTCTGAGCCACCCACCTCACTGTGCCTGACCACCTTCCAGGCTCTGAGTGGCTACTGTGGCTGACCCCCTTCCTGGAACACACCCACTAGCCTGGGGGTAGAGCTGCCAGCACCCAGGGATAGGCTTGATTCTGGCATGATGTCCCCTGGGAAACACAGGCCCAGTAGCCCTTGAGGGTACTTAAATCACTTCAAGAACTTAGGGTGCTTCCCTCAGTCAGAAGCACAAGTAGTGGTCTCCCTTAGTCAGCCAAACCAAGGAGATGCCAAGGCATAATCTAGACCCACTCTCAATAAGTATCCCATACCAGATACAAAGGAGAACTTTATTGGTTACAAGGAGTAGGGTTGAAATAGGGTACAGCGTTGAGCAGTATCAGACAAATCCCATAGAGCAAACAGGGTGACTAGAGTAGCCTTTGATCACGCATATGAGTTACTGCAAGTTATATATCTAGCTAGATCTCAGGTAGCTTACTCATGAGTATCATCCAGAGGCAGGTGGAGAGTCCCTCTGGAGGCAGGCAGTTCCTTGATCATGAGTTTTGAGAGAGAGACCAACATTCAGGTGGTCCAGCTTTTCTCTCTCTCTGAGTTTTCATCATGGCTACTACCCCTTCTCCTGGGCAGTCCTTAACTTATACAGCCCTTATGACCTCATTTGCCTGGTCCAATGGAGGCCAGCACCTGTTGGCTGTCAGCCAACCAATTTGAAAGGCATCACTGGTTGTTGGACAGACTGGCAGTATCTAGCCCACCAGGGATCCCAAGCTCCTCACCTACGTATATGATGCTAGTCATGTAGGCAGTGGGAGCAGGTTTCCCTCCTCTCTCAGGAATGTATCCAGCTCAGGTTACCTAAAGAGATAGGGTAAGTTGTGTACCTTCTGCAGGGCCCAAATTGTCACAGAGCCGATTTTTGGAGGAGAAACACAAGTGGCCTTCTGCCACAAGGGTGCTTTAACTAAAGCTTGTTCAATGAACTTTAGTTAAAGTGCCCCTGCCACCATTTTTCAGCACAGGGATGCTGATACATGAGATGCTCCAGGCAGTTTAGTTAAAGTGGCTCTCGGAAACATTTTAATTAAAGTGCTCCCCCGCCTCTCACTCCTGGAACACATGTATAAACCCCCCATATGTTTTTACTTCTGGAAAATAACTTCCACTGAATACAACTGCAAAATCCGTAATAAAGAGGTGTGGCCATCAAGATGCTCTTTTGCAGAATGGCAGCACCACTTGGAGGACAAATGACACTGGGTACAGATCCTAGCCACAAGAATTTGGAGCATCTCCATTTCATGAAAAGTCTTAATCAGTAACAGGAGTACTTGTCCTTATTCTTCTCCTGGTTCAATGTTGTAACTTCCTACTCACCAGGTGATCAATATTAAGTCTGATCTCCTATCTCCTAGGGCTGTGCGAGTCGGCAGCAATCTAATCCAGCTTCAGATCTGGCCGCTTCAAATGGCCATGATCTGATCCAGAGCTCTGGACCGGGTTTCCACCTCAATCTGGCCGAAGCAGCTCCGAAGCTTCAGAGCTGCCTCGGAGATCTGGCCATAGGGGAATCAATGAAATATCTATACCTTTGTTGGTTTTTGTCTGATTTGAATGAAACTTGCAGGGGTGGTAGCCTCTGTTAAGAGTATGAAGCCTGCCAAGCTTAAAGAAGATCAATGCAGGGGTTTGGGGGAAACTGTACCCCAAATGCTTGAAAGCCAAACTCATGTCACAGCTGTGTATTACACCACAGGGGGCTGAAAACTGCAGGGGTGGTAGCTCTTACTGAGGCCACAAAACCTGCTATGTTTCAAGAAGATCGGGTCAGGGGTTTGGGAGGAAACTGCACCCCAAATGCTTGAAAGCAAAGCTCCTGTCACATCTATGTGTTACAACACAAGGAGATGAAAACTGCAGGGCTGGTGGCTCTTACCGAGGCCACAGTGCCTGGCAGCTGTGTGTGTCCTAGAGCAAGCCTGAGTGCTGGGCCCTGCCAGGCTGCGAAGTCTGCCTGCCAGCTGTGTGTGTCCTAGAGCAGGCCTGAGTGAGTGCTGGGCCCTGCCAGGCCACAAAGCCTGCCAGCTGTGTGTGAGTGTGTGTGTGTGTGTGTGTGTGTGTGTGTCTCACTGGGGGAGTCTGTCATTTGGGGCCCTGCACCCCAAGCTGCCGACAGGCAAAACTCATGATGTGGGTGGGTGAAAATGTGTATGTGTTAAGGTGCGCCCTTCCTGGCACTGGGGCCTCTGCACTACACGGTAGTGTGCTCCACTGAGGCCTCTTCCTCCCCTTCAGCCTCACGCTTGGTCCTCCGCTTTACGTGACAACAGGTATAATAAACTTAAGCTGGCTCAACACCAGTAGCAGCAGCAAAGGTACCCAAATGGAACCGTCACACAGCCTGTCATTTTATAAAGGAATGAACAGCAAGAAGTAAAGATGTTGTGTTGTGTTGGACATATGATGCTATTCATGGTGTGTGATGGCTTATCTTGTTTTTTTATGTCATGTGTGTGCATTATGAAAAAAAAGGAGTACTTAAAAAAAAAAAAAAATGTATCTTTGGAAGCTTTAGGATTGAAAACCCCTTTGTCAGGCTGAGGAAGTACCTGCAGTTGGTCCTGGATGGAAGGAATAGTAAAGAAGCCAGAGGCTGGCCTGACATGCAATGCAGGAAAGAAAGCCAGTCAGTGAAAATGGAAATGGAAGTGTCAGGGGGTGAGGGACAGGCTGGGGTGGGGGGTAGGGGAATGTAGCAGTTCAGGTAAAAGAGGAGCTTGGGGTGCCAGATGTCTGGCCGGTTGCAGCGTGCCAGAACTCTGCTGTCTATATTGAGTCCATGAGTTTCTGTACCTACTACCTAGGAGGCTGATGAAGCGCAGCTCATAGGCCCAGCTCTGAAAAGTGGTTTGTACGTTCAAACAAGCACCTAACCTCATCACTAGAACTGAAGCCAATTTCCTACAGCTCAAGACACAAAACCTGCCAACTATCTCCAGTACCCCCACAAGCTGCACACCAGAATCTGTCAAAGACAACAATACCCAACTACCTGTGGGGGCACATTCCTCACCAAAAAACACTCTGCCTCCAGTCTCTCAGGCCTGATCCTGAGAGGGAACAAATTACAATGCAAACCACTGCTCCTCACCACCAGAGGTCACTCATTTACTCCAGGGCTCTACCATCAACACCAGCCAAAAGTGGCAAGTGCAAGGTAGGCCCAGACACTAGGCCTACACACAAGGTAGGTTGCTGCCGCTACATTGCTGGGGGTCATATAATAGAATCAAAGAATGTGTGACTGGAAGGGACTTTAGGAGGTCATACAGTCCAAATGAATGCTTGAGTCAGGTCTGTCCTATTCAAAAAAATCCAATCATATTAGTTCAAATACCCAGGAAGGCAGGGACTGGTGGAGCCCCATGCACCCCAGTTGAGGGGCCCCCAATCACAAGTGTGGTGATCTCCCCGTCCCATTGGTGTGTGAAACCCCTTGGTGGGGCAGAGGATGAATAGCCACAGCAGTGACTTCCTCCTGCCCTGTCACTGTAGAAACTCCCCAGGACTGGAGAATCACCACAGAGATGATGTCCCCCTGCACCCCAGGGGGCTCAGGAAATGCTGGGGGGATGGAAGGATCACTGAAGGGGTTATTTCCTCCCTTCCCCACTCCAGGGGTGTGCGGAAGTCTGGGTCTGGAAAGTCATGGAAATCCTCCAGTCCACAGTATTTCCTGCATCTCGGGGGGTGGGGAAGGGCACCCTGTGGCAGTCCTTTGGCCCTAGGGGTTTCCTCCACCCTGGAGCCCTAAGGATCACTGCAGCTGTGATCCCCAGGGCCAGGGGGTTTCATGCACCCGCCTACATCTGTAAATTAAAGCTTGATAGCAACCAGGTATAAAGTTAGTACATATTTTTGAGGTCTAATTGTATAGCTGGTTTGGAACTTCTTATTGTGTGATAGTTTCTTTGCATGTGTAGCTGGTCTTCAGGTAATTGTATAATTAACCAGTTATTGCACAATACCTGTAATGTGTAGAAGGGGCTTTAAGTCCTAGCTTACTTGGAACACTGCTCTTACTTCCTGGATTGATTCCTACCCCCTTATGGACCCAATTTGTGGACTTTGCCCAATAACTATGTGACCTTCCCTGACCACCCACCCCTTGGTCCTGAACAGTGGTATGAGGCTCACATTTTCAAAGGAAGTAAAGCTCCACATTGCTCTTTGAACAAGAGCAAATCTATTTCTTATATTTCTGTCATTGTTCCAAGTCCTTTCAGCCAGCATCAGGCATCTCTGAGCTCACCAAATACCTGTAGGATTGTATGAATAGCTCTTAGTGCTGGATGCTTTTGGAGAGGCTTTTTACAGGTCAATTCTTCATAAGTCATATGAAAGTGTGTCCTGAATCCACAGTTGAAAGACCTCTTCAGGGGTCATCACACACAGAGACATATCACAGTATTCATCTTTTTCAATCCCACGCAGGAATAACTTTGTGGTGGGCTCTGCTACTTTCTGAAAAACAAACATAAAATACATTGGTGCAGGCCAGGCAGACATATTGTGTTACCCTCTTAGGATTTCCAAAATTGGAACATTTTCTTCCTTAATCCTCCCTATAGTTTATTTAGAGAACTCTTGTCCAAAGTAGAAACTTTCTATGGTCTAATTTCTAGCGCCTTTTTCAGTTTCAAATGACCTAAACTAGATGCCTCCTTTAAAAGACAACTTTACAGCCTCAGGAGCAAAACCCCTTTTCTATTATTAGGAACCTAGCAAATACAAGATTTCGTGGATTTTACAGAAATAGTGTAACTGGCAGTCTCCCATGAAATAAAGCCAGTTCCCCGTGCTTTCACAAGGAACCGGCCACATTAAAAAACCTGGCAAAGAGCCAGCAAAAAGTCATCTCCTAGAAAGGTGTGGGGAGAGAACAGGAGCAAAGAGAGGAAAAAAAGATACACTGCCCATCTCCTGAAGTGGGGCGGGGGTGGGGGAAATGGGAAAAGTCCACGAAAAAGTCCCATACTCCTGAAGGGGGAAGTGTGGGTTGAGAAGGATGACAGCTAGAGCGGAGCAAATCAGAGACTGTGTCCCTAACGCTGGCTCAGTCTGTCACAACCCAAAGGGTGTGATTTTTGTTTGTGTGTGCTTCGGCACTGCTAAGTTGTCCCCGCTAAATTGCAGCTTCTTTGCACGGTGGAGTTTTCTGCTGCAAAAGAGAACCCCGGTGCAAGGAATGAGTTTCCCGCCAATTTGAAGCTTTCTTTGCAGGGTGCATTTCTTTGTTGCAGCACAGAAATGCTCGTTGCAAAGAGTTCCTGCCATTTGTATGCTAATTCGGGTCCTATTATTGGCCAGTTCTAAATTATTCACACGCGGAGGCTAGTGATTGGCTTGCTAGCCATATAAGAGGCTTGAGTGGTTTCCGCCCAAGTTGGAGGACTCCACGAACAAGGGAGGAGGAGACTTCACGCTGTGTGAAGATCTCTAAGCGCTGCGGATCCTTACAGACCCAGCGCATTTCAAGCAGGCAACGGAGGTCTGATCAGCCTCTAGCCTCTCCCCGTCGCCAATAGATTCCAGACGTATCCCTTCCCACGCGCAAGAGAACCGAACCCACGGAGCCTAGCAAACTTTGTGTGGATCCTTCCCTCTCCGCCCCAGCGTGCCTGGGCTGCTAGCCACAGCCCGCGTGCAGCGCGAAAAGGGCTCGGGTCGCTTCCGGCCCGCACACAGTCCAGGAGCTAGTCAAGGGTCTGCCTGGAAAGCCCAGAGAATTTAAAAAATGCTTGCAGGGGTGCTTGCATGCTTATATCAGGGGTGCAGGTTGTAGCTGTACTGGTCTAAGGAAATAGGCAGACAAGGTTCTTTGGGTAAATCCGATATCTTTTATTAGACCAAGTCAAATAGTTGGAAAAATTATTTGCAAGTTTTCAGGTACAGATACCCTTTGTCAGGCTGAGAAAGCATCTGCAGTTGGTCTGTGCTTTCCTGAATGGAATAGTAAAGCAGCCAGAGGCCAGTACATATGCAAGAAACCAAGTGAGTAAAAATGTAAACTGAGGTAGTCCATGAGTGACAGACAGGTGGGGGAAGAAATTAATGTAGCTGGTAAAGTGGAGAGGTAACCTGGGGAGTAATCATTTTGGACTTAAAACCTGCACTCCAATTGATTTCCATCAGAAAAATCAACAAGCATCACCCCTCCATTAGACTCTCTCTTGAATACTTCATCACCAACATTTCCTTTTTAGATATGATGATCACTATCCGGAATGGTAAAATACAGACCACCATATACAAGAAACCCACAGACCAACATACATATCTGCACAGAAGCAGCAATCCCCCTAAGCACACCAAGAAAACTGTAATATACAGCCAAGCCCTCAGATACCACTGAATTTGCACTGAGGAGAACACTCGTGATTGTCACCTCACAAATCTCAAAAGAACTTTCACTCAACAAGGACATTCCTCCAGAGAGATTGCACTTTTGATAGAGACACATGGATACCACATGAAAAACTGGTGAAGTACAAAAGAAAAACCCCATGAATTGCACACCACTGGTTATGACATATTATCCCTCCCTGGGATAATACAGAAAATCCTCAAACAACTGCAACCCATACTAGAAGAAGACCCAGTTCTTAAGGCAATCTTCCCAGAAACACATATCCTAGCTTTTAAACAAGAACCAAACCAACCTCATCACCAGAAGTAAACTTCCTATGGCCCAAAACACACCAAATAGATCCAGACCATGCTATGAAAAAAAATGTCAAACTTGCCAACACATTTCTACTGCCCCCACAATTATTACACCCCACAACACAACCATCAACATTTCTGGATCTTACACCTGTACCTTCAGAAATGTAATCTCTCATCCAGTGCACCAAATGCCCTGATGGAAAATATGTAGAAGAAACCAGACAGCAACTGCATACCAGAATGAACACATACCAAAAATCTATCAAAAGACAAGAATACCCAATTACCTGTGGGGGAACATTTCTCACAAGAAAAACCAATCTCTCCCCAATCTCTGTTTTAATCCTCAAAGGGAATTTACAAAACATCTTTCACAGGTGAGCCTATGAATTTCACTTTAATCTACTGGATAAAAAGAAATAATGGACTAAATATAGGCATTGGATTTATGACACATTACAACCTGCCTAACATCCGACTCCCCAGGTAACCTCTCCACTTTTTACCAGCTATATTCATTCCCCTTCCCCCCACCTCAACCTGTCTCCCACCCGTGGACTACCTCAATTTATATCTTCACTGACTAGATTTCTTGCATACATACTGGCTTCTTGCTACTTACTATACAATCTAGTAAGAGCCCTGGTGTGGCTGCCCGCACCCATTGGATTCGGACTCACCAGTGTGGATGTTGCAGCTGCCTCATCTCCCTGCCTCTGCTGACTGATGCCTCCTGAATCTTGCGGGGCATCCACAGAAGCCACCGCCATTGGCAGTCCTGTCAGGGGGGGCACCAGCCCTACCAACAGCATCAGTCGGCCATCAGGGAGGGCACCAGCCCTGTCAGGGGAGGGAACATGCACCCCTGAGTGCCCCCTACCACTAGCCTGTGTCTGCAGGTAAGCCAGTCTTTGGGATGCTCTCTCCCGAGTCCCCTTGGTTGGTCCCTCATTGCCATCTCCCCACGTTCCCTCTGGTTTCTTTCTGGGGATTTTTCTCTCCCCAGCCAACATTGACTGCCTGCTCAGCTCTCATTTTAATTCCCTCATGTTGATCAGCTGTAAGCGGGTTACAGCATCTCATTCCCTGCTTAGCCAGCTCTCCCAGCTGATTGGGCTAATTAACATCAGGGGATCTCAGCTTGGCTTTTCCCCTGGCTGGGCTGGCTGGTGCAGTAAGTATTCCTTTGTTCTTTGCTTTCTCGGCATTTCGTGACGGGGTGAATACCTCACCCTGTCACACAAACCAAAGGTGCAGTGGAAGAATTGCTGAGCACCAAAATAAATGTAGGAGGAAGAAAGAACCAAATCAGTTAGAGGTACAGACACTCAGAAAGGGAGGCCTAGAATCCAGAATAACCTAGATAAACTGGAGAAGTGGTCTACAATAGATCAGATGAGATTCAACAAGAACAAATGCCAAGTCCTGCACTTGAGACAAAATAATTGCATGCACAAATGCAGACTGGAGAGTAACTGACTAGGCTGCAGTACTGCAGAGGAGGACCTGGGGGTTACAGTGGACCATAAGCTAAGTATGATCCTAACGGGTGCTCCTGTTTCAAAAAAACAAAAGAGAGCCAAAAGTGTGCTGGGGTGTACTAAGAGTGTCACTTTCAAATCAAGGGAAGCAATTCTTCTACTCTACTGAATGCTGGTAAGGCCTCCCCTGGAATACTGTGCCCAGCTTTGTCCCTACACTTTCAAAAAAGATTTGGACAGATTGAAGAGTCCAGAAGAGAGCTGCAAAAATTATTAGAGTCCTGGGAAACATGCCTTGTGAGGACATGATGAAAGAACTAGGGTCTGGAGAATAGAAGACTGAGGAGAGATTTGATGACAATCTTCAAATACCTGAAGGGAATTTAAAAGGATGGAGACAGATTACGTCTCTGTGACTGTAGGGGACAGGACTAGGAAAAATGGCCTCAAAGTGCAAGAGAGGAATTTTTGGTTAAAGATTAGGTAAAGCTTTCTTACTATGTTGGTAGTTAGGCACTGGAACAAGCTACATAGAAAAGTTATGGGATCTCCACGTGTATATTTTCAGGAACAGATCAGACTTGACTGGGATGGTTTATTCATGGCTGATCCTTCCCTGAACAGGAACTTGAACTAGATGACCTCCAAAGTCTTTTCCAGCACAACTTTCCTATGATCTTAAGGAGCCAGGATGATGCTGTCCCTGCACTCAGTGAACAACATGCCAGATAATTTGTGTCCCTTCAGGGAGCTCTTCTCACAGGTTTCAAGAGTATTGTCCACATTTAGTTAGTTGGTCCCAATACAACTGCACCAATGATCTTGCCCTATTGCAGCCTGCCAAAGTAAAAGATTACCAACCCCTGATGGGCTGGACCAGCCGTGGTGGTGTTATGCTGCTTTGATACTCCTCAGTATTAAGACCTAGGTAAATAGACTGAAGCCTTAGTTTTCTCCCAATTGCACTTGGTACACAGCTGAATTCAAGGTCTGACCCCAAACCAGGCCCTACATGGTGAGTCTACTAAAATCTGGGACTGCTGCTAGACCTGCATCTGGGACTGATGTAGGGTCTGCTGTCTTCGCTCACACACAGATTTTGTCTGCATGGGGAAATCAGGAGAAGATAACATGCCTGCCAACAGCACCGTGCTTACATAGTTGGAGGGAAGGGGTGCTATGCAATGCGTACACATCTATGCAGGGGCATGTGTGGTATTTGCCTACCTATGCTGCAAGTGGGAGACTCTCGAGACTTAATTCTATTTCCCTCCTAGGACACTTAAGGGTCACTTATGCAGTCTTCAGGTGAGT